AAAGAGAAAACTTTGCAAATCTTCTGCAAGATGTAGAGCTATCACTGCAAATCTGAATGAGCCTTCAAATCAACGAAAAACTGACTTAATATCTTTTTTTTTGTTTTTGTTTAGTTTTTTGCTTTGCCATTACCTTGAATTAGATTCAAGTTGCGCTTTAGATTTTCTGTTATGTAATTGTTTTTGTATTCTCTTTATTGACCTGCTTCATGACTTTCTTTAGAGTATAGTGCCAAACAAGCTATCAGAGAAATGGATTACATAAAAATATGTTTGCGTGATGAGTTAAAGGTTCAGTCAAGGACTTAAAGACACTTCAGTCCTGCGTCTGTAAATACAGCAAAATTTATCACACATAACTTTCTGTGTTTAACAAAACAGCCACGTCTCTGTGAGCCTGAGAACAAGGAGGAATTTAGCTATTAAATGGCACTGGAAAAAGTTCAAAATGTTCCCTTCCAAAACATTTTGCAAATCTTCACAAAACCACACTTACAGAGAAGCCTCACTTTTTAATTTTGCCCTGTGAAATTTTTTCTACATTTGAGACTTTGGATGTTACAGCTTTCTCATGGTTCAATTGTTGAGAGGGATTCTTGTTTTCTGGTTCAGGTAAGTGGCAGTCTATACTAACTTTGTTCAAAGTTGGAACATTTTCAAATTTACTCCAACTACAGTAGTCAAAGGCAGCTTTGTTTGATCGTTATTGAGCAAACACGTCACTATTACAGCCTTAAAAGCTATGTGGACATTCAACAGCCTATGATTTTCAATGATAATACATTAATTACAACATTCAAACTCTAATTTGATTATTTTGTTAAAGGTTTTTAAATAAGAATCTATTCAGACTCTGCTCAGCAGAGTTTTTGAAAGTAAATGGACATCTCAGTTTTTTAACGTCAGTCCGATTTTCTCAATTTTATGACATGCTTTCTTAGATAATAAGAAACATTTATTGAATGCTATTAGAAAATTTAAAGTAACCTCGGTACTGGAACACCGAAACCACAATAACAAAGATTATAGTATGCGCTGAACCACGATATCAGTGAGTTTAGCAATAAGACATTTTTTCTTGGGATGCATTACTTTATTTGAATGAGACACTTTTTTCAAGAGACTTTTAAACATTTTACACTTTTATCTATTCTAGATCACAGTGTACTATAAGGAGTTCACTGCAAAAACGATCTAAACATAAGTCAAAATTTCTTAAATCAAGTGTATTTACCCTTAATTTGACCAGGTAAATGAGATAGTTTGTCAATGGAATGATGATTTTTACTCTTAACATAAGATAATTAGATAATATGCACTTGAAATAAGACAATGCAATTGTTTTTTCTTATTTTAAGTGTTAATTGGCAAAATGTCTCTTTTAACTCCTCAATCAATAAATAAATGCACTTATTTTAAGAAAAAATGACTTACCGGTATCTAGATTTAGATTTTTGTCCAGTGTTTTAAATGAAATTTTCTAGAAAGTATAACTGTACAAACATCTGCAGCCCTTACTGCACATTTAACTAGAAGCTGTAAGCTTTAAATTATATAAAGTATTTTGTGTAAAGTTATAGTTTTGGATAAAAGCAGGTAATGATAAAGTGAGACTTCTGTTTTCTATCAATAGCCTGGGTACTGAAAAGGTCATGAGATCACATTGAGTTGCTCTACTCCATTTTATTCTCAGGCATTTATTCACTCCTCATCAGTCCATCAGGGTGATAAGTCTCCTTTCCTCTACAGCGGAGTAGACTAACAATGAAAGGATCAATATCTGTGAGCATACAGTAGATCCCGCCGGTACCTACGAGTAAACTGCACTATTTTCAACGGTTAAAGAAGAAGCAAAAAAAAAAAAAGTGCAAAATTTGTTTATCCTGCAGGAATAATGCAGGGAAACAGAACAGGTATTATAATTTCTTGGCTGTAATTGCACTAGATCACAAAGCTGTCAGCCCACTTTACCTCCTCGAAAAGCATCATGCTTATAGGAAAGAATGAGGTCTGCATTCTTGCTTTTGCTGATACCAGGCCTCTAGCATCCAATTATTTCACTTCTTTAAATGCCTCCGCAGCAAAACTACTTCAAAGGCCCCATTTGCAGCTTTCTCTCAGTGTAGGACGTGATTTCACTCTTTTACATCTCCATGGTCCACCCATTCCCCTCTGCGCTGCTTAGAATGCAATTCACAGTCATATAATGCCCCTGCCTCTTGCTGCCAATTACTCTAATCGCAGTGCCCAAATGCTGTGGGACAGGTACAACAGATGGAAGAAGCCGTGTCAGGGTGTCCAGACTTAGAGTTAGCAAACCCATCTGCTAGCAAATAGAGCTCACTGAATGATATTCACTCTCCCATAGCTAATAACCGCCTGGCTGCTGGACATCATGCGGCGCAGGAAGCTTCATCCACTTATCTGCGTCTGCCCTCTTCAGTCCTTTGAAAATCCTTTTCTCGTGTGTTCCTATAATCCCATTCAAACTGATCCATCTTTGCTTTTAAATCTGTGCAGCAGCATGCCCAAGAGTCGTGGAAACTTTCTTTTTATTTGGAAAAAAATCCCCAACCCAATATTGTCTATATTTCTTTGTTCTCACATTACATTAAGAAAACAAAAGTGAAAAACCCCTAAAGGCAAAACAGAGTAAATCAGCCGTTTAGCAGCCAGTAAAGCTTAAATATTTAAACAGTAAAAACGTGTAATATGAAAATGCTCAACTAAGCCACATTCACTCAAAGTCTAACTCTGGCTGGATTTATCTTATACTATTACAACTTTACAGTAGAGCCATGCAAAAGTAATCACACCTCTTAAACTTTATTACATCTCAAGTTAAACTTAGAAATTTCAATGCATTTTATTATAATTTAAGCTGATAAAACATAAGCAGCTTTTAACTGTAAAGTTCAAAGTGATGCATGGCTTTCCAATTGCTTTAGTACCAAAAACCGATAAATTTGAGATGTTTATTTTGACTCTTATACCCATAAATAACATCTATAGCAACCACCTCCGCTCTCAAGTGGCTGAACTGGTAAAAATAGACCCCTGTGGGTGTCATTTAATCGAAGCATAAATACATATAAAACAGCTCTGTAGAGAGCTTTATCAAGACGTACAGCAGACATACCAGAGAGAAAGATTTAGAGAAATTTACATAGTTAGATTATAAAACAATATCCAGAGCTCAGTGCCCGGTATGACTATTAATCAAGCACTTGACAATCCTGCCTTCTTTGGAATAGGAAAAGCATCTTTGAAAGTAAGACAAGAACTGCTGTGTGCAGTTGGAGATAAGCTACAGTACATAGGAGACACAGCAAAAATGTGGAATGGATGCTCTAGTCAGATGAATCCAAAATGTAATAATTTTGAGCTTTAATTAAATACAGAAAGAAAAAGAAAAACGTAGCTGGCAGCGTCATCCTGTAGGAGTTCAGTTCTTCAAATAGGACATAGAAGCGGGTGAGAGTTGATTGGAAGATGGATGAAGTCAAACAAACAGCAATCTTGGAAAACTACCCATTATAGTTAGTAAGGTAGCTGAGTGGGGAGGACATTCAGCTTCCAGCGTGACCACAGCTGTAAACTTACAGCCAGAGGTACAATGGTTTAAACCTTAAACCAGTTAAACTGTGGCAGGGCCTCTGATTGAACTGGGTTGGAGCTTTTGATTTTTTTAACAAAAAATGCTGCAATGACTTCCTAAGGAGAGGCTGATCAAAATGCACAATAAACTACATTGATCTTATCTAAAAAAAAATACCAAACAAAACAAACATGTATGATTTTTCTTCTATTTCATAGTGATGACTAAACGTGTAGATAATACAAAATCTCAATAAAATACGATGAGGTTTGTGGTTTTAATATGAGAAAATGTAAAAACATTTAATGGGCATGACCATCTTTCCAAGGCACAGTAATATCAATATTTATCATTCAGCATAAACTGAGTACTTAAGTTTTATTTCTCCCATTTCAGTTTTAAGTGTATGACTTTTGTTGCTCTGGAGGATTTTTTAATCGCTCCAGTGTAACTTTTTACTCAGAGCAGTAGAGGATCCAAACACTTAACCCAGATGTTGGACCCTTTCCAAGAAAGCATAGAAGACAAAGAACAGCCTAAATGCTGACGTTAGAAACTCAGGATTACAATTCACTGACTTCAACAGAAATACAACCAAATACAGGATGAAAGGTCTCTATATAATGTGCTGCTTCTGTTGCTGCTATCCAGATTAGTGTCAAATGTATTTGCCTATTTAAATATTACTTCAATAGCTTTTGTTTTTTAACCTTAAATCTTTCAGGTCTTCAAACATGATGCTGAGATCTTCTTTTGGAGTAATTGTGATTGGCACTCCTGTTCCATTTATTCTAATAATCTCCGTTTGTGGAGATTACAGGAGCCCTAAAGCTTAAGAAATTGTTTCATAAATCCTTTTCAAGACAGATATATGCAATTCTTCTTCCATCATCTACCGTAACATGTGACTTGTTAATTACTGACATGCCAAGGCAGGCTGTGACAGCTGAAATGGCACTCAGTTTGCCTAAATCTGGTTGGACATTTTTCATGTTTCATCACAAAAGGGAGCAATTACCATTTTCATAGAGTCAGATAAGTTAAGATTGTTTTTTTTTTCTTTGGAAAAATTTTATCCTTAAAAAGTTACTGCAAGTTCTGGTCAGTAAAGTTTTGTTCAACTCATCTTTGTTTCCTTAAATGACCAAAATCAAAACACAAGATTGCCAAGCAGCATTTTTTTAATGATATTAAAATGCTGATTACAAGAAATGTTTAAAAACGTGTGATAACAGCCAGTCTTGATGAAATCCCTCAAGCATCTTACAAACAATTTAGGTGACGGGAATCATCCTCTTACCGGCAACCAGCAAAACCTAATGAGAGCACAAGCACTGAGCAAAGCAAAACACATACAACTGACATTAAATAGTAAGACAAAATGCCTTGAGGTTACAAAGTGAAAGGTTAACGTTTTTATTACTCCAAAAAACGATGGTTTCAAACCAGAAAAACAAAACAAAAACAAAGCATCAATACAATACACATTTATCTTTTGAACTGTAAACTTCAAGAAATGTGACGGGGATTTTCAGCCCAGATACATCTGATAAACCTTTGAGCAGAAGCACATCTGAACACAGTCAATTTAGACAGGACCCAGGTTAGCATTGCTCTCTAATACAACTCCAAAGAACCATCATTTGTCACTGTTCGCTATATAAATAAGTTAGACAGGCTGGTCCTAATAAAGAAAAATGCAGGAGGTTGGATGTGCTGCATCCATCCTCCTTCCCCCCTGCAGAATGTGATTAATAACCTAAAATGTCAAAAACTTTCTTTTATTTTTGAACTACACTTTATCCACAGCTGGGAAGTGTTTAAAAATGTAAATACTTTATGACATTTCATAGCATAACAGTTTTTACTACCTACATTTCAGTATCCTAGTGGTAGATTAAACCCAATCCTGCACAGTATAACCCGGGGGTGCTGAGTGTGTCTGTGGGTTGGGCTCTACCAGCAGTGATTGTCTTCAACATTCATCTTGAGAAATGTATAAAATGAGGAAGAAAAAAAAGGAAATCAGTCTCCTAATGCATGTGAAGATATTAAACCCAGGATCCATACCACTCAGCCACTTCTGCAGTGTTTATTCCAAAAGTACAACACAGTAACGCATTAGTGTCAGAAATTGTGGCAAAAGGCAAAATTCAAGGCATGTCAGCAGTAAAAAAAATCTAAACCCATACACCTGAAACTGCCTGGCTCTGCTATAAACACAAAAGGCACCTGGGTGGCATCAGTAAAGGCAGTTTAGAAGGTAAAACAGCAATATAAATAAAAAAGGAAGGCCCAACACTGATATCAACTACTAAACATCATCACTTCCTGATATCACTCCTGCAATGTGGATGTTTAACATTCACTATACACCATACTGCACTATTTTTTTTTTAAACCAATCAGCTTGCAAAAGCTATGTTTGTTTGTTTTATACAAATGCTATTATTTTTATTTGGATGTAAATCATACGCTCTAAAATGGCAGAAGCATTGCGAATATGAGCCAAAAAATTATGATCATTTTACACCTATAAGGGAGAAAAAACTAAATGTTGGCATTTGTATGGAAGTTAGTTGATGGTTCTGATCAGATGTGAAAATACACCCGCCTTAAGGTCAGACTTAATGATTATATAACATGTCAATCATGCTTGAAATGAAGAAATCGCTGCAAAAGGTTCAATCTTTTGATTTTCTCTGATCCAAAGAAATACTTGAAACCAATATTCTTAAACAAACAGACATAGACCCTAACCCTTGGCTGCAAAATGTACCTTAGTTACTTGCTTTATTAAAAAATAAACACAATAAAAAAAAATATAAATAAAATCATCATAGGCACTTGAAATCCTGACTCGATATTTGACCAATCTTCTAAGCAGACAGAGTTCAGTGATTGGCTTCTTGGTGCAGGTCTGACTTTAAAGTATAGTCCACATTTTTTTAAACAGAGCTAAGGTTTTATTGCTAACCTCATTTATTCATCCAAATACCAGTTTTTATGTATTCAATATTTTTGTGTTGTTGGAAGACCCAACTGTGTCCCTTGCTTCAACCATCAGACAAAAAGATATCGGTTTGGGAACAGGCCAAAAATCCTCAATGTTAAAACCCAAAAAACTCTAACAAGGATGTTTAGAGAGTTCCAGTGAACAAAAAATCTAAGACAGTGGTGGCGGTATCATGCAGAGAGGCTCTTTTTCTGTTGGTGGTCCAGTCTAATGTAGTTTTAGGATGGACGTGACCCTAGCTGTATTAAGCTTTGACTCCAAATCAACCAAATCCAAAGAAATCTACCAAAAATAGGTTTAATATCCAGTCAGACTTGTAAAAAAAAAACATGCTAATGCCTACATAAAGTGTGCTTTCTCTGCAACAAGTAAAATTTTTCCAAAAATGTGTTAATGACTGTATATATTTGGCCCTTTGTGGATTACAGAAAATCCTACAGCAAAAACCTGGAAACCCGACAGTATTGCTGTTTCTATTGTTAAAGATGTTTGTTGCACGATCTTTCCAATCTAAAAAGGGAACAGTTTATGAAATTTATGTGGCTTCTGAAAGTATCTAATCTAGCAAAAACTGTAAAAATACCAACTCTATACTTCTAAAGCATCCCCTTTTAACAGCAGTGCGCTCATATGGGACACTGAAGTGCACACAATGCCTCAAAACTGCATAGATATCTGTTGAGATTCAGAAGCAAACCTCGTCCATCGAGACCCAACTGTCCAATCAGAGGTTGGGTTACGGTCATGGTTCCGTACACCATAAGTGAGCCCCTAGATGCTCTTTCACACTTTCTTGTTAGATCTGAGCTGCTAGTTGCAACCCTAATCAGGCACGTAGATTTCAGGAAAATCGACATAATGTTAAGGCTTATCTTTCAACATTTGATCCTCTAAAGCTGTTGCAAAGCACAAAGAAACGTCTGTCTATCCATTGCTCTTCAGCACCACATCCTGGATCAATCTGTCACACTGTTTTGTTCTTTGTTGCTGCAGCATAGTAAGGAGTGTTTGTGGAGGACAGATTCTCAGTCTTTCCAAAGGCAAGAAAAATCATGGCAGGTCTCAGTGTGTTGCTGTACTCAGTCGGGTAAAATGTAACAAAAAAAAAAGGCAAAATTCATGGCTCCATATGCCCTTGTTTTCTCTTCTGAAGAGACAGCGATCACACTTCTTCAAAGAAGGCCATCTGAGACATGTATGCAGAGTTCCGCTGCAAATCAAGACAAAGGCATTATGTGAGAAAACTGGAGAAACATCCATTCAACAAGACTTCACCAAATCTGAGGTAATTTCACTTAAATACAGGCTTCTTTCTTACATCTCTCATAGAAACGTGTTAAAGTGCTAAACTAGCCTTTTTGCAGGAAATACTTTTAAGATGTTCGAGGATCTGGTCGCAAATTTCTTCGATACAGTGGGGAGAAGTAGGATTTGAAACATATTTTTTAGGTTTCTCTACGTGCAAAGAATTTAGAAATCTATTTAATAAGTCATATTTGGATGTCAGTGATGGAATCTAAAACAAAACAAGCTTGCTTAATTTCTAAGTAACTGTTTCATATTTTGTTGCATAAGTATTTGATGCTTTAGAAAAATCTTAATCTTTTGAACAGAAAACTTTGCTTTCAGTTAAAGATATCAGGCGTTCCATGTAATTCTTATAAGGTTTGCACACACTAAGACAATCACCAAAAATGCAGCACACACGTAGCAAAACGTAGCACACAGTGCAGCAGGGACTTTGGACCAGTCCTCCAAACAGACCTCCAGATTCTTCAGGCTGTTTCTGGATCATTTGGAATTTCAGCTCCCTCCAAAGAGCTTCGATTGGTTCTGGTCTGGATAGTAGCAAGGCCAATGCAGGACCTTTAAACTCACTTTATGGAGCCACTCCTGCTGCTGTGTGAATGGGTCTTTATTTTGCTGGAAAACCCAGCCATCACCAATCTTCAATATCCTTTCTGAGGGTAGGAGGTAGTTGGCAAAGATCTTCCAATACATGGTCCCTCCATGCAGGCATTGTGTCCCATTTGCAGAAACCCTCCCAAAATAATGCTGTTTCCACCTCAATGCTTGTGGTTAGGTTGGTGTTCCTGAGGTTGTAATCATCTTCTTTCAAACACGACGAGTGGAGTTTAGACCAAAAAGCTCTATTTTGGTCTAATCAGACATGACCTTCTATTCATGCTCTAGGTAAGGGGTTCTTGCTGCAGAATTTTAATGGCCTAATGCACTAATGGCCTGTGCAGACTGACCAGACTAAAACAGACGGACCGTCATCTCCCACTGCTTCCATTTATTTACCAGCTGCACCAACAATAGTTGCCCTCTGACTAAGCTGCTTGCCTATTTTCCACTGGCCCATCCCAGCCTTATGCAGCTCTATTATTTTATCCCTGATGTTCTTACACAACTATCTGTTCCCGGCCACTGAAAAGAAGTTGGAGTTTGATTAAGCTTGTGAATGGGTGCTGCTTTTACAGATAGGAGGCTCAAAGAAAGTGGAAACAGGAGGACTTCTTAAAGAAAAACTAACAGACCTCTAACACGGCAAAAAATGGAAATCTAAATAAGTCTTTTTTTTCTTAAAATAAGTGCATTTTGTCTTGAATTGAGGAGGTAAGAGAAACATTTTGCCAATAGAACAACACAATTTACATTTAAAATAAGAAAAAACAATCACGTTGTCTTATTTCAAGTTCAACTTATCTAAATATCTTATTTTAAGAGTAAAAATACCCATTCCATTGGCAAAATATTATCATATTTCCCTACACAAATTAAGGGTAAATACACTTAATTGACAAATTTTTTACTTATTTCTAGATTGTTTTTGCAGTGAAGAGCTGGAATAATTACTGGTTGGTAGGTGATCCAATACTCATGTGATGCCATAAAATGCTAATGAATCACTTTAAAAAAATCCGGAATTGTTTTAGATTCCGTTACTTGCAGTGGCGGAATATCCATGATAGAAATTTAAGACTTCTACATGCTTTCCAAGAGGGAAAACCTGTTTAAATCGGCAGCAAATCCAATACTTGTTCTCCCCACAGTATAAGGGTCTGATGAAACTTCCTCAAATTGAAAAAGTAGATTGGTATTAAAAAGAAATCATATACATGGCTTCTTCTGTTTCCAATCAATTTTTCCCCATCTGCTTTCCTCAGATGTGACCAGTGTAGCGCCTGAGAATGCCGACAGAACTGCAGGTGCACTCATTTATCTGACTAATACACTCCAGACATTAAACTATAAGTAATTCTAATTTACAGTAGAATCTATTTGAACCCTATGCTGATTTTGCAGAAATCATTTACACTATATTTTTTTTCTTTTTTTGCATTATAGTCATAGAGCATTTATTTGTATGTTTGGGGCAAAATATATCATCTCTACTCTACTCTAGCATAAGGCGTCAGATTTTCATGGCGCCTGTTATCATATTTATTGGTCAGAATTAAGATATCTTTCCCTGAATTAACACAATCAGGGCAGAAATAAACATATTGCATTTATTGTGATTTGTAGCATAAAATGCATTACTTTTAATGGCTGCTAAATGTGAAAAAAAGTATCAAAACAATTAAATAACAAATGAGAATACTACTATTTATGGATCTATTTAATACAGATGCTTGCTCTTGTTGCACCTCATCCTCATATCTATATTCGTATTGTATCATCATGCATTTCAGTTTCTGTAAAGGCTTGATAATAATATAACTGACCTGTGCTGAGAACTGCTGCAACCAAGGAATAAATTTAATGAATGCTTCCTGTTTATGCTGTTAGGTCAATAATGAGGATGTGTTAGCATAACGGGCTGCAGTAAAAGGTATGCTCTATGTTAAAACAATGGAAGGTCAAATCATAGCATAGATTCCAGCATTACATGTAAGAAATGATGCTTCCTTTACAAAACACCAGGTCTACTATTCTACTATTTTTTTACTCTTTGAATGCGTGCAATATTTTATTATTTACAAAAAAAAAGGAACATAAAATCCTCTGCAGTGAATGGCAAAACCGTTTCTATCCCTATTCATTCACTTAAAAGTAAAAGTGGTTAAAGAAAAGCTCATCCCATTTACCGTATTTTCACGACTATAAGGCGCACTTAAACAAAAAAAAGTCTTTTTTCCCTCAAAATGTGCGGTGCGCCCTATGGTGCGGTGCGCCCTATGTGTGTTGTAACTGCGACTTTTGAGACCACCTCATTGAGGAGATGATGAAAG